CTCTCTCTCTCTCTTTTTAAGATAGAGAATTTTTTAATATTTATTTTTTAGTCCTCGGCGGACACAACATCTTTATTTGTATGTGGTGCTGAGGATCGAACCTGGGTTGCACGCATGCCAGGCGACTGTGCTACAGCTTGAGCCACATCTCCAGCCCCAGTGTAGGTCTCTTTCTATCTGGAGGATGATGTGAGCACCTGATGGCTACCTAAATGCAGCTAAGGCAGTCACAGCTGTTGGAAACTCTGATGAAAGGTTTCCCAGCCTAGGCATCTTGCAAACACCATTCTGTACAGAGCAGGCATGTTGGGCTCTGCCTGCCAAAGCCATTTCCTACTTTTCTCTCCAGGCCCAGAGAGCAATTGACATGAATACATAATGTGTCAGGTTCTGATCTGCCTTAAATGTGTGGAGGTAAATTAGCCAAACTTAGCCTCCTGTTCTTCAGGTATGCTTCTCCTGCTTGTATGTAGAGATCCAAAAGTCAATTTACACTTGAATACAAGCACCAGCTTGTCTGTTCTCACCTCTTACCTTAGACCTCTTAAAAATATCTGAACAGCCTATTACCAAAAGGTTTACTCCCCCTAAACTATGAACAGGCTTTGGAGTAAGATTTAACCTTTTTTTTGTCACTGAGAGAGAATAGCTCTAGGAATGGTCATATAAGAAAATGGACCTGCTCAAGTGCCAACAGCTTTTCTCAGTAATTAGGGTAACATTGTAGCTTTGTTCTCAAAAGTGATAGAAAGCAAGCTATTATATATATATATACACACACATATATATATATTTAGGGAGAGACAGAGAGAGATAATTTTTTAATGTTTATTTTTTAGTTTTCGGCGAACACAACATCTTTGTTTGTATGTGTTACTGAGGATCAAACCCAGGCAGCACGCATGCCAGGCAAGTGCGCTACCGCATGAGCCACATCCCCAGCACAGAGTATCCTATTTTTTTTCTCAGTAATTAGGGTAACATTGTAGTTTTGTTCTCAAAAGCGATAGAAAGCAAGGTATCATAAATATATATATATTTTTTATATCTAAACTTGTCCAATTACGGACTAGGAAAAAAAAAATGTTTAAATGCCTTAGGCATGAGGTTTCTGCTAAGAACTTCAGTTTCCCAAGGTCCTTTCCAACCTCAGTCAGGACTTACATTTAAATGCAAATGGAAGCTCAGTAGGAGATCAGTTTCAGACCCTAAGGGGAAAAAATAAAAGTGCCTTTTACCTGAACATATATTAGACTAAACCAAAAGTCTATTTTAAGGTACTTTAATGACTGCCAGCTGGTAATTTTTCTAAGAGACTTGTTTTTTCTTAAATTCCATATACTTTTTTATTTTTCAAAAACTTTTTAATATTTACTTTTCAGTTTTCGGTGGACACAACATCTTTATTTTATTTTTATGTGGTGCTGAGGATTGAACCCAGCGCCCTGAGCATGCCAGGCCAATGACCTACCGCTTGAGCCACATCCCCAGCCCCTTAAATTCCATATTTTTTTTGAGCTCATGATTTTCATGCTATGCACTTAGGTTAATTTTTTTTCTGATCAATTCTAAATTTTATTCAACTATGGAGTTTTGAAACATTACTAACATTGCTATGTAGACTCACCTGTAAAAAGTTACAAGGTCTTTACTTTTATATGTGTGAACACTGTGTATTGTGTGGTTATCCAAAAATGCGTGTGGCCATATGTCAGATACATGATGTAAAAATTTGCAGATATATAAGAAATGCTTATCAATTTTTCAAAAATGAATCCTAATACCTTTAATTCATGTGATTTAGAATGGTTCAAATTAAATTGGTTAAACAGAAGAAAGTAAATATGTCTTTAAGATCAAACATATAAGTCTCTCTCTAAGTGGTCAAAGAACTAATAAAATGTTGATATCTATAGAATGTCTAATATCCCTAGGTTTTAAAATTTTCTTCAACAACAAAATATGTTTAATACTTTTTAATAAACTGATCTGATATCGTGGAAAAAATAAGCAGCATAGATTTGACATAAAATTAGTCATAAATGTGTTAGACATCTGATTAATTTATAAGGTTAAAATGCTAAATGTTAAATATACCATTTTAACTCTTTAAATTCTGTTGGGTAACAATATTGATATTTCATATATTGAAAAATATAAAAAGGGGGTTAATTTTTTTGCAATCACTGAGAAAAGGTTACTAAAATTTAAAGTACTGAGAAGTATAATTTTTATACTTGAACATTGTATTTTCATTAAATGGTATACAGATGTGATTAACTGTGTACTGAAAATAACAAAATGAGGCTGGGGATGTAGCTCTGAAAGACCCCAGCCCAACAATGTCAGGCCTAGGTTGCAAAACCGGCATGTCACAAACCTACGCAGGCACCAGAGGTGTTTTTCAGATAATCAGTTAGGTGTAACCGGTTAAAAAAAAAAGGACAGAGAACCAAGTCCCAAGACATGCCTGAATAAGCAGGAACAAGAGGACCAGAGTGCAAACATGTAGCTTTTATGTGGTCTTTCCAGTAACATAAAGTGAAAAACAACTTTACCCTTTAGGTAACCTATATGCTGGGTTTAAAATTAACCTATTGTTTACCACGCGCAAAACTGCCCCTTTACCCTATAAAAATCTCTGTATCCCCAAGCCCGGTGTGCCAGTTCACCAAAGCTCCTGCTGAGGTTCTGCTGGGCATCCACAGGCGCCTGTGTCTCAATAAACCCCTCTTGCTTTTGCAGCCAGTGTTTCGTGTGATTCTCCTTGGACAGGGAAACGGGGGTCTTTCATTTTTGGAGGCCCCAGCGAGATGACTGCAAGTTTTCTGGCGAGGAAACCGCTGAGCTAAAGCCAGCCCCTCCCCCACCCCATCCGGATCCCTGCCCATCCTGCATCACTGGGAGGTAAGCTGGCCAGCTCATGTCGTGTTTGTCGTGTCGTCTGGTGTCACTTCTATGTTTGTAACCCTTGACTGATGCTTTGTTTCTATGCACTGCATTTGTACAATTACGCGTAGTCGCTTTGTATTTTGGGCAGCTTGAGAAGGAGTTGATGAACTCAGACTTCTCCCCTGCCACCCTGGGAGACGTCCCGGGGATCACTTTGTAGGCAGCGGCGAAGTTTCTGCTTTGCCTAAGCCATTTGGTTTTGTAGGCAGCGGTGGGGCTTCTGCTCCGCCTAAGCCATTTGTTTTGAAGCCGCGCGGCGCTCTTTCTATTCGGTCTGACTGTAGTGTTATTGTGATTATTGTGTTATTGTTTCTGTCTCTGTATTCTATCTCCTCATCTAAAGCTAACATGGGGCAATCAATCACGACCCCTTTGAGTCTCGCCCTCGACCATTGGCAAGACGTCCGGAGTCGGGCAGATAACCTCTCTGTAGAAGTTAAAAAGAAAAAATGGGTAACACTTTGTACTGCAGATTGGCCAACACTCAATGTGGGTTGGCCAAAAGAGGGTACATTTAACCTAGATCTTATATTACAGGTAAAGTCCCAGGTTTTCATCCAAGGTCCTCAGGGACACCCTGATCAAGTACCCTACATCGTTACCTGGGAAAATCTGGCCTCTGACCCACCCCTCTGGGTCGCCCCTTTCTCTCCTCCTAAGCCTGTCCTACGATCTCCCTCCGAAGCCCCACCTCCACCCTCTGCTCCACTTATCCCAATACCCGCACCCCCTCCCCAAACCTCCAGGCTCTATCCCATTCTTGAAAAACCCAGAAAGGCGACTCTGGCAGTGACGGAACCCAAGAAGGTTTTGCTGCCAGAAGATTCAGCTCTCCTAGATCTGACAATCGAAGAAACCAGACCCCCACCTTATCAGTCCCAACCCATACTGGCTTCTAATCCCATCCAGGTCTCCTCGGAAGGAGAAGAAGAAGGAGTAGATCCAGTCCTCAGTAATCCTCCGGGCCTCTCCCCCATGGTTAAGAGACTTCGGGGCTGCCGAGAGCCTGCCACCTCAGGAGATACATCGAAAGTTCTCCCCTTACGGCAGACGGGGGGCCCCAATGGCCAATACCAGTATTGGCCTTTCTCTGCCTCTGATCTCTATAACTGGAAAACACATAACCCATCCTTTTCTAGTGACCCTGTAGCTCTAACCTCTCTAATAGAATCTATTCTAGTGACTCACCAGCCGACATGGGATGATTGCCAGCAGCTTTTACAGATCCTCCTCATTTGTGAGGAAAAACAGAAAGTTCTCCTGGAAGCCCACAAAAATGTGCCAGGGGATGACGGGCGCCCCACTAAACTCCCAAATTTGATTAATGAAGCTTTCCCCTTGACTCGGCTGGACTGGGACTATAACACTGATGCAGGTAGGAACCACCTATGTCTCTATCGCCAGTTACTCATAGCGGGTCTCCACGGAGCAGGGCGACGGCCCACCAATTTGGCTCAGGTAAGACAAACTACCCAAGGGTCAGAAGAAACCCCGACTGCCTTTTTAGAGAGACTTAAGGAAGCCTATCGGAGGTACACGCCTTTTGACCCCGACAGTGAGGATCAGAGAGGTAATGTCTCTATGGCTTTTATTTGGCAGTCCGCTCCAGATATTAGGACTAAATTACAAAGATTAGATAACTTACAAGATTTTTCTCTAGCAGATTTATTGAAGGAAGCAGAAAAGATTTTTAACAAGAGAGAGACTCCAGAGAAAAAGGAAGAAAGAATCAGAAAAAGGCAGGAGGAGAGAGACCTCAAATTTAGGGAAGAACTAGACAGGAGGGAGCGGAAACATAATAAAGAATTAAGTAAGATATTGGCCACTGTAGCTCAGACAGGACCCCAGGGAAATATGGCAGGCAAGGAAAGGGAACAAAGCAGACCCCGTTTAGACTGAGACCAATGTGCCTACTGCAAAGAAAAAGGGCACTGGGTAAAGAACTGCCCAAAGAACCCCAGAAGAGTTATAAGCCGGACCCCTCAATTGCTAGCCTTGGATGAAGATTAGGGGAGTCAGGGCCAGGAGCTCCCCCCTGAGCCCCGGGTAACTCTGCAAGTAGGGGGGCAACCTGTGACCTTCCTAGTGGATACAGGAGCCCAACACTCGGTGCTGACACGGGCATCAGGACCTATGAGCCATAAAACAACGTGGATTCAAGGTGCCACCGGGAGCAAGCCGTACCGATGGACCACCAAAAGAGAAGTACACCTTGCCACAGGTAAAGTTTCCCATTCGTTTCTGCATGTGCCTGATTGTCCATATCCACTACTAGGAAGAGACTTATTGACCAAATTGAGAGCCCAAATTTATTTTAAGGATGGGAGTGCCTCCATCACGGGGCCAAACCAGGCCCCCTTACACGTATTGACTTTCAGATTAGAAGACGAATATAGACTTTTTGACAAACCTTCTGTACCTATGAAGGACATGGACTATTGGCTTGATTCCTACCCGGAGGCTTGGGCTGAAACCGGAGGAATGGGAATGGCTAAGCAACAACCTCCGATAGCCATTCACCTAAAAGCCACTGCCACTCCCATAAGTATTAAGCAGTATCCTATGTCAAGGGAAGCTTACCAGGGCATCAGACCACATATCAAACGCCTCCTAGACCAAGGCATCCTAACTCCTTGCCGGTCGACCTGGAACACCCCATTGTTGCCAGTCAAAAAGCCAGGAACAAATGACTACAGACCTGTTCAGGACTTGAGAGAGGTAAATAAAAGGGTAGAAGATATTCACCCCACGGTGCCTAACCCTTACAATCTCCTCAGCACCTTACCTCCTACCCATACTTGGTATACCGTTCTGGACCTGAAAGATGCCTTCTTCTGCCTAAGATTGTCTCCCCAAAGCCAGGCTCTCTTTGCATTCGAATGGAAGGATCCCGAAAAAGGAGTTTCTGGACAACTGACCTGGACAAGACTGCCACAAGGGTTTAAAAACAGTCCGACGCTCTTCGATGAGGCTTTACATCAGGATTTGGCCGATTTTCGTGTAAGACACCCCTCCTTAATTATGCTTCAGTATGTAGATGACATCTTGCTGGCTGCCACCTCTGAGGAAGAATGCCTGGCAGGTAGGGAGGCATTACTACAAACTTTGGGGCAGTTGGGGTATAAAGCATCAGCTAAAAAGGCTCAAATCTGCCAAACCACAGTAACTTATTTAGGATATGAACTTCATGACGGCCAACGGTGGCTGACAGCTGCCAGAAAAGAAACTATCTCGAGCATACCAACCCCCCAGAATCCTAAGCAGCTGCGGGAATTCCTAGGGACCGCAGGTTTCTGCAGACTCTGGATTCCTGGGTTCGCTGAGATAGCAGCCCCCTTGTATCTACTGACTAAGTAGGGTAACTCCTTTATTTGGACCGAGGAACACCAATCAGCATTCGACCGCATTAAATTGGCCCTTCTGTCAGCCCCCGCTTTGGGCCTACCAGATGTTACCAAGCCTTTTAACCTGTTTATAGATGAGAAGCAGGGTTATGCAAAAGGGGTTCTAACCCAAAAATTGGGGCCCTGGAGGCGTCCTATAGCCTACCTGTCAAAGAAATTGGATCCAGTGGCATCAGGATGGCCACCATGTCTCCGGATGATAGCAGCTGTAGCTATTCTGATTAAGGATGCCACTAAACTGACTTTGGGACAGCCATTAACCCTATTAACCCCTCATGCCATTGAGACCATAATTCGCCAGCCGCCCGACCGCTGGATGTCAAACGCCCGACTCACCCATTACCAGTCTCTGTTGCTGGACACTGACCGAATTCAGTTCGGCCCTATGGTTACACTGAATCCAGCGACCCTCCTGCCACTCCCAGGAGAAGCAAATCCTCACAACTGCCAGCAGATTCTCGCAGAAACACAAGGAACCCGGCCAGACCTCACAGACCAACCGATGAAGGATGCGGAGCTGGTCTGGTACACAGATGGGAGCAGTTACCTGCTCAATGGAGAACGACGAGCAGGAGCAGCCATCACCACCGAATCTGAGGTAATACGGGCGAGTGCACTGCCGGGTGGGACATCAGCTCAGCGGGCAGAACTGATAGCTCTGACCCAAGCCTTAAAGTTGGCAGAGGGGAAGAAACTAAATGTGTACACAGACAGCAGGTATGCTTTTGCCACTGCTCATATACATGGAGAAATTTACAGGCGCCGGGGATTACTGACCTCAGAGGGAAAAGAAATCAAAAATAAGACTGAAATATTGGCTTTGCTTAAAGCTTTATTTCTGCCCAAAAAGTTATGTATCATGCATTGTCCCGGCCATCAAAAAGGAGATACTCCGGAGGCCAAAGGGAACAGATTAGCAGATGAGACAGCCAAGAAAGCAGCCCTAGGGCCACAACTTTTAGTGATGACTCTATTGCCCCAACGGGTAGACCCACGACATGATGACTATGAGGAGCAGTGGGTCTATGAGGACAGAGATTTAGATATCATACAGAAGCTGGAAGCCTCTTACAACCCAGAGGAGAATACCTGGGAATATCAAGGAAAGACTGTAGTGCCCCTCAAAAATGCAAAAGAACTGGTGAAATCCTTACACAGACTGACACATCTTGGGGCTAAAAATATGAGAGATCTTTTAGACCGTGGAGAGGGCACTCTATATCTTCCTGATAGGGACCGACTTCTCCAGCAAATTGCAGGAAATTGTCAAGCATGTGCCCAGGTAAATGCTGGTAAAATTAAAATTGGAACAGGAGTTCGGGTAAGAGGACATAAACCTGGAACCCATTGGGAAATAGACTTCACTGAAATCAAACCGGGTATGTATGGATATAAATATCTTCTAGTTTTTGTTGACACTTTCTCCGGATGGGTAGAAGCATTCCCGACTCGGCATGAAACTGCTAAGGTGGTCGCTAAAAAACTGTTGGAAGAAATTTTCCCAAGGTATGGGGTACCCGGGACAATTGGGTCGGATAACGGGCCTGCCTTCACCTCTCAGGTAAGTCAGATGGTGGCCAATACATTGGGGATTAATTGGAAATTACATTGTGCTTATAGACCCCAAAGTTCAGGACAGGTAGAAAGAATGAATAGAACCATCAAGGAGACTTTAACCAAATTAACGCTTGAAACTGGCACTAGAGACTGGGTACAACTCCTACCTTTAGCCTTGTACCGGGCCCGGAACACCCCGGGCCCACAGGGACTAACCCCATTTGAAATTATGTATGGTGCCCCACCACCCGCTGTTAACTTTTATGAAACTGAAATCTATGCCTCCCCCACCCCATCTATGCAGACTCATTTGCGCGCACTGCAACTAGTCCAGAACGAGGTTTGGAAACCATTGGCAGCGGCATATAAGGAAGAGCTCAAAACCCCCTCGGTGCCACATTCCTTCGAAATTGGAGACACCGTCTGGGTGCGCAGACACCAGAATAAGAACCTTGAACCACGGTGGAAGGGACCCTACACCGTCCTGTTGACCACTCCTACTGCAGTCAAAGTGGACGGCATCACCGCCTGGATCCACGCTTCCCACGTGAAGGCTGCATGTCCACAAGATTCCATAGACACCTCTCCAGATCCAGGATGGAAGTTGCAACGTACTCAAAACCCACTAAAGATAAGACTTACGCGCTGGTAATTGTCTTTGCTCTTTGCCTTGCCCACTTTGCTATAGGTAGTAACCCCCATGTCCCCATGAAACTGATCTGGCAAGTTTACTCCCAGACTGGGGAAGTAATCTGGTCAATTACTGCAATCCATACCCCTGGCACTTGGTGGCCCACCTTAACCCCGGACTTTTGTCAACTAGCTGCTGGCCTGGACACATGGGATATTCCCACCCAAACATCTGACAATTTGGCCTCAAAGGCACCTCGACCACCAGGTTGGGGACTGCCAGGATGCGCTGGGCCAGAACATAGGTGTCGGTTAGCCCAATTTGACTTTTATGTTTGCCCCCGGGACGGTAGGGATAGATCCCGGGCATACAAATGTGGAGGTTATGAATCGTACTTCTGCGCCTCCTGGGGATGTGAAACCACTGGAGATGCTTACTGGCGACCCTCATCCAACTGGGACGTCGTGACAGTAGGCAAGAATTTCACTGTCCCAAACTCCAATCCCTCGGCTTGCTATGCCCCCGGTTCTCAATTTACCTCGGGCATGTCATTGCCCCTTAAGATTCAATTCACAGAAGCAGGTAAAAAAACAATTGATTTCTGGCTAACTGGTAGAACATGGGGGCTCCGATGGTATATGTTAGGGCCCGACCCCGGTGTGACCCTCAAAATTAAACTAACTCAAGCCCCAGCCACCGTCAGTTCAATAGGACCTAACTCTGTACTTGGTGACCAAAAGATTCCTTCGCTACCTAAACGGACCAAAGAAAATTTTACAAGATCTCCCCCTAGTAAGCTACCCCAGCTGCAAAATGTGACTACGAGTTACCGAGCCTCCAGTCACCCCCCTGAGCCCACTCACCCTGGAACTGGAGATCGGTTATTCAATCTGATACAAGGAGCATTTTATGCCCTTAACTCCACTGACCCCAATCGCACCCAAGACTGTTGGCTATGCCTTACATCTAGCCCACCTTATTATGAGGGGATTGCAATAGTGTCCCATTGGAATAATGGCACTATTCCTGATCCTAAGTGTATGTCCCTGCCCAGTTATAAGTTAACCATTACTGAGGTGTCAGGACAAGGGGTCTGCATAGGGAACGTACCTCCGCTTCACCAGCCACTCTGTAATTCTACTTCCCAAGTGACAGGCACAGGCTCCCAAAATAGCTATTTGTGGGGACCCGATGGGACTTACTGGGCTTGTAACACTGGACTGACCCCCTGCATTTCTACGGCTGTCCTCAACGCCTCCACTGATTTCTGTGTGCTAATACAACTATGGCCGAGGATATCATATCTATGATCAGACTATGTCCTACGACGCCTGGAAGGACAAAAGCGGTACCCTAAGGAGTCTATAAGCATGACCATAGCCTTATTATTAGGAATTGGAGGGATAGCCTCCGGAATAAGAACAGGGACCACCACAATAATACAAAGTAATCAGTTACTACAATTACAGGCAGCAATGAACGAGGACTTAACTGCCATGGCTAAATCTATTACGGCCCTAGAAAAGTCCATCTCTTCCCTTTCAGAGGTTGTATTACAAAATAGGAGAGGATTAGATTTACTATTCCTTAGAGAAGGTGGCCTCTGTGTGGCCCTAAAAGAACAATGTTGTTTCTACGCTGACCATACAGGGGTTGTCAGAGAAACCATGGTAAAAGTCACTGAAAGATTGGCAAAGAGACAGAAGGAATTCGAAAATCAACAGGGATGGTTTGAACACTGGTTTAGTAAATCCCCCTGGTTAACAACCTTGTTATCCGCTATAGCTGGAACTTTGGTTATTCTACTATTACTCCTAACGTTTGGACCTTGCATACTTAACAGATTAGTACAATTTAAAAGAGAAAGATTATCTATAATCCAAACTATGGTTCTTACTCAGCAGTATCAGTTGCTCCAGCAGCAAGCAGGGTCGCAGATAGATTTGGTTCGAGAGTCTGAACAGGCAGAACAATGGATATAAGATTCTATCCATGATCAAGAAAAAGGGGGGAATGAAAGACCCCAGCCCAACAACGTCAGGCCTAGGTTGCAAAACCGGCATGTCACAAACCTACGCAGGCACCAGAGGTGTTTTTCAGATAATCAGT